CAAGAATTGCAAATTAAGAAAATAAGAATTAGCAGCTCCTGCTCTGCTGCTCTGCCTTTCAAACACTGTTCCGGTGGCTGGTGGGTTGTGTTTATAAGTTTTAACCAACCAAAAAAATTGTCTTTTTCTTTCTCTTTTCTTCTTCTTTCCACAGCTAATGGCGGAGATTAAAATGCCTATTAGGGTGATGGGTTATGTTTCTCTTGTGTAGGAAACAGGGGAGGGGCTAAGTTGGCGTTTGTCAAAGAAGAAGAAGAAGAAGAAGAAGAAGAAGAAGCAGAGAAGAAATGAAGTACGTTTTGGTGACTGGTGGAGTTGTGAGTGGTCTTGGGAAAGGAGTGACTGCTAGTAGTATTGGCCTGCTTCTAAAGGCTTGTGGGCTTCGGGTCACTTCCATTAAGATTGGTATCTTTCTCCTCCTCTTCTGCTTCCTTTTGTTCTTCTTCTTCTGTTTTCATTTTAATTCTGTGTGATGTTGCTCATCTCTGTTGTTTTAACTTTTTGAGTCAACCCATTATGCTTTTTTTGTTGGAAAGCTCATCCACTTTTCTCTCTCTTTATCTTTTAATGGGGAAAAAAGATGTATCAGATTTTGCTTTTCCTGCTAAAGTTTTCTTTTTCTTCTTCTGAATTTCAGATAGTGTATCAGTGAGAACACAAATCTGAGTGACTGTAATTTTTTTTCTTCTATATAATGCCTGATATATATAAGTTTAAGCTGTTCTCTCTCTCTCTCACCCTCTTGACCTGATCACCATTTTTCTTTTTCTTATGTAATTCAGATCCTTACTTAAACACTGATGCTGGAACTATGTCCCCTGTTGAACATGGTGAAGTGTTTGTCTTAGATGATGGTGGTGAGGTACATCAACTTACTCTTCTGCCCTCTTCCTTCCTAGATGATTCTTTTACTTTTGAGGGACATTTCTGTAGGAAGCTTTTGTCATTATCCCTCTGGGAAATTTCTGTTGTCTTTTATAAGATCATATGCCTTTTCAATCTGTGCCACAACAATTTGAATTCCACCATACAAGTACAGAGTTAAAAAGAATTAAATGGTTGCAATTACCAATGAGAAATTTTGGACTCAAGTGTCAAAGTCTTAAAAAACGTGGAAGAATCACAGACTTTTTATTTTCTAATTTGGTTTTTTCTTTTTTTAAAATTTTCACAGGTGGACTTGGACCTTGGAAACTATGAGCGATTTCTAGATATCAAGCTGACCCGTGATAATAATATTACTACCGGAAAGATTTACCAGGCAAGTGGTAAATATATATATATATATATCACACACACACACACACATATATATATCCACTTTATTATATTTTTATATACCTAATACTGCAGATTCCAAAAATCTCTTTATCAAACGTTTGATTTTTTTTTTTCCTTGTGTTGTGTCACAGGATGTTATTGACAGAGAAAGAAGGGGAGATTATCTAGGAAAAACTGTCCAGGTTTTTGTCTACCTACTATGAGTCCTTTTTCTGGCTATATTTTATCCGGTCCCTTTCTTTTCTTATATATTTTTTTTTATCTGTAGGTTGTTCCTCACATCACAGATGCTATCCAAGAGTGGATTGAGCGTGTAGCACAAATACCAGTGGATGGGAAGTCAGGTCCAGCTGATGTTTGTGTCATAGAATTGGGTGGAACTATAGGTACATCTATATTTTCCACAACAATGTTCTTGATTTCTGGCAGCATCAGCTGTTTCAATGGCTATTTCCCATTACTGACAACTTCCTGGTTGTAGGTGATATTGAATCCATGCCTTTTATTGAGGCATTAGGACAATTCTCGTACCGTGTAGGTAAGCAAATTGAATACGAAACTCCATATGACAGAATTATATATGTTGGCATGGCACACATTCTTTCTGATCTGATCATTTAGTTACTTGACTCTTTTCTTTTCTTTTCCATCAATGTTTGTTTATTTCAGGTAGCGACAACTTTTGCTTGATTCATGTCAGCCTTGTGCCTGTTTTGAATGTTGTTGGTGAACAGGTTAGATTCTTATAATTGTCTGTTTACTAGCTTTTTTCTTATAGATAGATGATTTAACCTCTGTTTATATTTCTCAGTCATGAGAGAAAACTACTAAATTGCTCTAATGAATGTACTTAATTATGCTCATTATGTTCAGAAAACAAAACCAACCCAGCACAGTGTTCGTGGACTGAGGTGCCTGGGTTTGACACCACATTTGATAGCTTGTCGCAGCACAACGGTCTGTCTATCTGTCTCTCTCTCTCTCTCTCTCTATCTTTTTGCCGTGTTTGCTTTGTCATGTTGGCTGAAGATTCTAAATTTACAGGCACTAGAAGAGAACGTAAAGACGAAAGTCAGTCAGTTTTGCCATGTCCAGGTGTGTTTGATAAGTTCTAGTTCAAGCATCCTACTTGAAACGAATTTCTTTCTGCTTTGCAAAATGAATACTTTACTGAAGCTGCTAAATATTTTGTAGAAAGAGAACATCATCACTCTCTACGATGTTTCCAACATCTGGCACATTCCATTACTTTTAAGAGTGAGTAGTTCTCTACAACTTCTGAAATGCATCTTCTTAAGCTGAAGTTATCTTCATTCTCTAACTGTCACATGGAATTTTTGTCCTGCTTCTTCTCAAACAGGATCAGAAGGCTCATGAAGCAATCTTTAAAGTGCTGAACCTTCAGGGGTTTGTCTCATGAACTCTTCTCATTTTCTTTCCTGTAACTTTTGGGATGTAATCCATATGCACTGTGCATCAGTTGATCTCACTGTTTAGTTTTCTAACATTCATCTACACAAATGCGCCATAATGTGCAGATTAACAAGGGAACCTGAATTAGAGGAATGGACTTCTAGGGCTGAAATTTGTGACATGTTGCACGAGCCGGTAGGTCTTAGCTCCAAAGACATGCCCAATGACAGACTTTTATTTCCTTTTGTTGCCAAAAAATTGAAATTCTAATGTCATTTGCATAACAGGTTCGCATTGCCATGGTCGGGAAGTATACGAGGCTTTCAGATGCCTACCTCTCTGTAATAAAGGTGCACCTAGCTACCACTTCTTCACTATGAATTGGTGTTTAAATCAGACGATAATCTAATTTCTAAAGATGGTTGCTTGCTGCATTTATAAATGCAGTACTTACAAATTACAATTCTTAAATCCTTGCCCAAGATTTGAGCTCAGAACTAGGATCTGTAAAGTAGATAACACGAAAAAAATTAGTTTTCTCCATGTTAGCCTTCTATTATGTTTTGATATGAGGTTATCTGGTAAAGATGATAGCTATGTTGAATTCTGATTCCTATAGTTTATGATTTCATCATCAAATTATTACATTTCTTAGTGCTTTATAAACCGGTCCAGTGCAGGGGAAAGTGACTGTGATATGTTTAGATATGACCTTGTGAACATATTAACCATACCAAATGTAAACAGCAAGATAAATTTCAGGAAGATACTTAGTGGGAGTAAATTTTGGAACAAAATTACTGTGTTAATTTTTTTTCCAGCTTCACTTTGTGGTTGTGGTAATACAAACATGGTACAATTCTATTATCAAGTTCTCATTATTTTGCTTTCATTCTTGTGATACTTAAATTTGAAGTCGGGGAGGACAAAGTATGCTGGGGTTGGATATATAATCTGTAGTAATTTCTGCAGGCTCTTGTGCATTCTTCTGTTGCTCGTGGCAAGAAACTTTTCGTGGATTGGGTTCCAGCTGGTGACCTTGAAGACGCAACTGCAAAAGAGGTTGTTATATACTGATATTCATTTTTTTTTGGAAGAGTTATATATTGATATTCAGTTCTAGCAATGTTTACATTTTACCTTATATCAAAACTTGACAAAAAAATGTATCATATTGCAGAATCCTGATGCTTATAAAGCTGCCTGGAAGTTGTTGAAGGTGTGTGTATTTAGGTTTAATAGACTTGAGTTGCAGTTGCTTTTTTGTTAGCCTTCTGATTGGCCTGTATCTTCAGGGTGCAGATGGTGTTCTCGTTCCCGGAGGGTTTGGGGACAGAGGAGTGCAAGGGAAAATTCTTGCAGCAAAATATGCCCGGGAAAAGAGAATTCCATTCCTTGGCATTTGTCTAGGAATGCAGATTGCTGTCATTGAGTTTGCACGATCTGTACTTGGTCTGAAAGATGCTAACAGCACAGAATTTGATCCTAACACTAAGAATCCCTGTGTTATATTTATGCCAGAGGTCTGCATCGTGTTTTCGAGTTTTATGTTTCATTGAATGGAACTCAATATCCTGCCTTTCCCATTTATCTAATCTCTGGACCTTGTAAAGCAGGGTTCAACAACACATATGGGAGCCACCATGCGCCTTGGATCCAGGAGAACATATTTTCAGTCTACAGAATGCAAATCAGCTAAACTGTGAGTACTAATTTGGAAAGAAATACGCACATTTGATCTGTACATATCACATTTTTCATAAGAACCAAAGCTTATGAGAAGATTTATTGATCTGCATAGATCAATCAGTAACTTGATACACATGAAAATCAGAGGGTACCAGCATGCTGAATGAGATGCCTGTGTTGGCTAATCTTTGAAATTTGAATTTTGTTAGATATGGAAACAAGCGCTTTATTGATGAGAGACATCGACACAGATATGAGGTAAGCGGCATCCCAATGAAAATGATTGTATTATAAGATACTATTTTGTCAGGAGGGCTAATTCTGTTGGATTCAGGTGAATCCTGAAATGGTAGCACGCCTTGAAAATGCTGGCCTCTCTTTCACTGGCAAGGATGAAACTGGCCAACGCATGGAGGTATAAATTTTCATTATTTGTCTGTGTAACTATAGAATCAATTGATTTGTTTACTGTGGTGATTTTGATCTAATACGTGTTCTACTGACGTTACAGATTGTTGAGCTGCGTAATCATCCATATTTCGTTGGTGTCCAGTTCCATCCTGAATTCAAATCAAGACCAGGAAAACCTTCTGCTTTATTTATAGGTACATGTCTCATACATCCTTAAAAGTTTCGCACTCACTTCATGTTCAATTATACTTTGTTACATGAACTGGAGGCTTGCTGTTTATTCATCTGAATATTCACTTATACTAAATCTGTGTTGTTAATTTTTGGTTGAAAATTGGGATTATTGTTACCTTTCCTTCATTTAGTCCATTATTACAATCAAGATAAATGTGCTTTTGAAAGCTTCAGACAAGACTCTGACTATTCATGACAGAACTCAGATTGAAAAGAAGCATGTTCAATATTGTTCGTTTAGAATTTAGACCAATCTGAAGGCTTCCTATATGACTTGATTAATAATAAGCCAAGCTCAGCTGTAATATTTCTATTAATGAAAAAGCCAGTCAAAGTAAGGTATTAAAATCTGAAGTTAGGCAAGCTTGATGGTAATCTTTGCTTCATTTACTAGAAATCTGTTGCCTATCTGAAGCTTGGACATAGAAGCACTTGATCTTAGCCTAAAATATCTTCCCTGAATTCAATCTATTGGGTATCTATGAGCTTAAATAATCATTGAAAAAGTTGAAAAGCTAAGATTAAGAAACAGAGCCGATACACGTCTGTTACAACCTGGTTGTGCTTCTGGTCAAGTCAATATCTAATAAATTTGGCTAGCCTGGCCCAAGTAACAGCTAAACTCACAAACCAGGCATATTTCCTTGGATTCTTGTGAGAAATATTTACTTGTCGCATGTTTGAGTACTGAATAAGGTTCTTCAGGTTGTGTACCTCATTGCTGCAGTTTGATAATTTGAATCTTACTTCATGGGATTTCTGTGAGAACCTAAATTCAAAATTTTTCTCTGCTGACTTGTAAATCAGATTACAGAAGCAACACAATAGCTTGTAAATCTTGAATTGTCAATTTGCAATGTCATGCAGGCCTTATAGAAGCAGCATGTGGGCAGTTGGATGTTTTCTTACAGGGCTCTGAGAGCAAAAGGAATATCCCAAATGGACCTGCCAATGATATGTCCCAGAGGCATATCCCATATGGAGCAAGCAATGATATGCCCCAAAGAAATATCCCAAATGGAGCAAGCAATCATATGTTCCAAGCAGCATGTGGGCAGTTGGAATCTTTCTTCCAGGGCTCTGAGACCAAAAGAAATGTCCCAAATGGAGCAGTCAAAGCATATCAAAATGGAGCTGCAACTAAGCTTGCTAATCGGCCACAAGACGGTGCATACAGCATTTTCAATGGCATGCACTTGTGAAGGCTGTTTTGGCCTCTACATAAAATATTTATAGGATTATCTTTCGTTGTGGTGTGGTTTAGGGGATTTTAATTACTTAATTAGCAGGGGGTTTTAGGTGATATAATATTATAGGATTGGTTTGTACAGTCATTTGGGACATGGTTAGATATCAGCCTTCCAAAGACACAAACTTTAGAATGGAGAGCTGCATCCTGAGTTTTTAAAAACAGGTCAGCTTGTCAAAAGTCTTGTACTGCACTTAGAATATGCAGGGGATTTGCCCCTTCTTCCCCAGCACCCTATGCTTTTGTTTTGTCTTGATTTTAATGCAGTAATAAATCTTCATATGCATGGACTCTTGGCTTGAACATCACCTAGCGACCTGCATGCAACACTATAAACTCGTCCAAGAAGAAGTGAAGTTGGAGTTTAGCATAATCCTAACAAATTTAGACAGCAAAACCTCTTCACAACTTTAAACATCTTAAAATACTTTCTCAAACAATGAGAAAGAAAACAAAACTCATGCTCCTCCTAACTCAAACAAGTTGAGTGCAGTTATTTGAATTACAATAAGGTCGGGTTCACCAAATTTATTCATTTGTTCACCAAATAACATGTGTGTATACACATAAGTTCTGACTTTCGTGCTTTAAAGAATGAGAAGGTTGAGAAAATCTCATTTCTACTCACTTGTCTTCATATTTGATCACGTTTATTCACTTGTCTTCATTATATATCTAAGTATAATCAATTTTTTCAATACATGAAATCAAAATTAAAAGCATAATTCAGATTTTGATCAAATCAATAGGTCCGCTCTTTCGGATTTTTAACTAATCATAACACGAAAGTTTCTTTTTCCTTTCACTAAAATTAATAGCTCCTCAAAGCTTTGTTAGCCGACTCACTAATCTGATATCGGGAAAAAGAAAGAGACAATCTCTGTTGTTGGTGGCCCGCCTTTAAAGATACAATACAAACAGATAAGAGTGAAGTGAAGTTGGGCATGGAAGACTAGAAATACCAATGGCTCTGCTAACAAATAGCCTGCTAGTGTTACCCCAGCAACTCGGTCCGAGTCGAACTCAGTCGCCTGCTACTATTCATTTCAACCATTCACAGCGCTGTCACCATTTCTGCAGAGCAACATCCTCTGTTTCGTTCTGGTTCTGTAATGGGAAACGAAAAGTCAAGAGTCTCAAGACCAAGGCCTCCAAGGCAGATAAGCAAGAAGTGAAATTGGAAGAGAAAAAGGAGGAAGAAGAAGAAGAATTTCAAGTACTGACGGCCATGAAGAGCGGTTACAATGACATAGTAATCGTGGACACTCCCACATCAAGAATGCTGCTCCTCGACTCTTCTCGTATGTTAATCTTTTTCTTTTGTGTTCGTTCATTGTTACCCATCATTTTATTCTTCGTTTAAATGCTATTTATGTTTTGGGTTCATGCAGAAAATGTGCATAGCATTGTTTACAAGCACCAGAAATGGACTGCTTCCTACTGGGTATGTGCATTTCAATATTTCAACGTGTTTATTCTAAGTGCTCCTAGAAATTCTGTGGTTTCATACATTTGATAAGACTTTGCATGTGTCATAGTGCTATTGAATTTGAACCTAAAATGTAAGAAAGTCATTGTATTGGTTGCTGCATTGTGCAGGATGAGTTTGCTAGCTTGCCTGCTATTGTTCCAGAAGGTCCTATTGCCATCCTTGGCTTGGTAATTCATTTCATTTTGGACTCGTGGTAAAATACCTTTTGTACCATAAAAATTTGTGATTTCCTGACTAAAAGTATCGTTCAAGCCAGGGTGGTGGAACAGCTGCTCATCTGATGCTCGACTTGTGGCCGTCTTTGCAGCTTGAAGGTTGGGAGATTGATCAAATTGTGAGTGTCCTATGGTCAAATGGGTTAATCCTCTTGCATATTTGCAATGTGCCACTTCTTGTAACCCTTTACTTCTGTTAATTGAAAAGCTTTGGACTTGAGTTCTTTAAATAATTCAAAGAACTGCATTTGATGATTTGCATCTTCCTCTTTGCTTCACAAGTTAATGACTTACCTCACCTTTAACTTCTGAAAATCTGAATGTAATATACGACTAGGTACTAAGTTTAGACAATCTTTATAATTAGATTACTTGAATTATGCACATATAATTATAGCTTATTCGGTACGTTGAATTAGTATCAAGTGGTAGCTTAAAGAACACATTGGGACTATTGACCAAAGTACTCAAAATCGCAATGCTAATATTGATCTTTTGAGCCCCATATAATACATGATAACTCCCAAGGCATGTCATTGCTTTATTGCAGTGTGAAGTGTTATCTACCAAGACAACTCAACCACTAAGCATTTCTATGTGCTTTATCCTATTTCAGTTCTTATGTAATTTGGACTGTGGCTGCAACTTTAGTGCGGCAATGCCAAGAAAGGCTCTAACATTATCTTATAAAGCATTCTTAGTGCAATTTATAGGTCATGGGAATCTACAAAACATTACCAATGGAATCAACGTCATGTTGAAGGTGTTGGCCTGCTAGGTCAGTGATTTTCCCCCTTGTCTTGGAGAGAAAATGTAAGGCAGCTGAAGGGTCACCTCTGTTTCTTTAACTTGTTTTGGAAGATTATGTATTCAAGCAGTCATCAATATCTAAGGTCTTAACCCCACCAGCACCTTATAATCTTTAATACATTCTTTCTGGAATAAATACAATCAATTGAAACTTATGCTGAAGTTTATTTAGCCACAAGAAAAATTGTATTTGAAACTTTATAAGTTATGGACAGAAGCCTTATCTCAAACAGCCAAAGTATCATATGCTGAGTTTTATTTAGCCACAAGAATTGTATTTGAAACTTTATAAGTTATGGACAGAAGTCCTGTCTCAAACAGCCAAGAAGTAGGACAAATTGCTCAAAATAAAAAGAAGTCAGCCACACAAGGTCAACAGCATTTGAATTAGCAGTGTAAAAGTCGCTGACCAGAAAATATCACTTAAGAAGAAAAAAAAGGTCTACAGTCCATTTCTTGAAATGTTTAACTTGAGAAGGTGTGCTGTCTCATCTGTTTAGCTCTTAAGACTAGAGTCACTAAGCAGCACTGTTTACTGAATCTGTACTTGGAGGTGTGATTAGCAAGATTAAAATAATATACAAGGTGTAATAAATGTTTCAGAGGATATTAGAGGGTTCCAATTTTCAGTAATGTCATTTGTTTTATCTTAGTTAAATCTTTTTTGCATTAGTTATGATCTGTTTCCTTATTGAATATTTTAAATATTTTTAGTTGATTGATAAAGCAAGAGAGTATTTTGGGCTGTCTGATCTTGAGAAGCCTACTCAAGCTGGTGGCATACTCAACGTTCACATTGGTGATGCCCTTTCTCCTTCAGTTAATATTTCTGGAGGGTATGCTGGTGAGTTCCTTGTCTACATGTCTTTGTATTACCTGGCCCACCTTTGGAATGCGTGGATGGTCAAATTCAAGGATTTGTTTTTGTAATTTTCGTGCTCTTGTGTATACTTCCTGAATACATTGGTTATGCCTATTTTCACAATTTCTTGCAGTTCTCTCCCTGCTGTATTGCTAACTTGTTCTTGTAGTAAATATCAGGCATTGTTGTTGACTTGTTTTCTGATGGAAAAGTTTTGCCACAGTTGCAAGAGGTATGAAGAATACTATCTTCCATGAATAGTTGGTGCCTTACCTTTTCATATTGTTTCATGGTATTCGAGGTTTGAACTATTTCTTCAATTGTTTACTTCTATTTATCTTCTCCAATAAATACACCATCTCATGTGATCATCTTGTCTTCAAGCCACATTTTACACAGTGATATCTGAAAACATATAGAGTATAGTATCCATTTGAACAGTCTCATTCTGAGTCTGGTCAGAAAGCTAGAAGAAAATTTGAAAGAGTGTGGTGAAAAAAAAAATGCCATGAGAAGTTATGCAGAGAATGCAGTTGTTAAACCAAGGTATAATGGGAGGACCGAGGAAAAGAGGGTAGAGAAACACCTATGAATTTAGACCCAAAAGAGCACCTCCTACTCATCTTGAATGTGCACAAGAAATCCTTGAGTGCCATTCAGAATACTGCTTTGGCTTGGTCCGAGAAAACACTCCCTGTGAGCATGAATGTGAAGTTGGAAAAGGAAGTCAGAAAGCACCCATAAGTCACTTCTGACAAAAGTTCAAGGGAAGTGATGTTAATTTTTTTATAGCTAAAGTAAGGGAAGTAGCAATTAAATAAAGCTCAATTTTTTAGTTTCTTCCTAGCAACTATCCTCCAGGGCAAGACCTTGTTTCAAATTTCCCTTCCCTCTTATTTTTGGATCCTCTTCCTGTGATCTGCAGTCAGCCAATTTCACCTACCCCTGTTGTCCTTTCAATGAAGGATTAAAATTATGCTACAGATTCTAAAAGCTAAAAAGTTAAGAGCTGAGTCATAAAGCATCTAAAGTTTAAAGTCCATTAAATTGCATCTATAATCAAAATCAATCGTCTCAAGCAGTTAAGTAATGCAGAAGTCTGACTTAAGGGTTTAATACAGCTAAAAAAGATTGAAACCAGCAAGATTCCAGTTAATTATGTATTTAAATATGTATGTCCAAGTTACATGTTAAGTCAGGCCTAGTAAGTAATAATCGGGAACTTATAATTTG